AAATAGCTAACGTTGCTAAACAAACTAGGTCACTAGCAGTAGAAATACAGTGTACCGTATGCTGCTTTAGGACAGTTTTAATTGGAAATCATTTTGTTTGTTGCTCTCTGCTATTCCGGGACAGCTTCTCAAGTAATTGGTCCTGTCACCCGTTAGCTAATGCTAGCTCTTGGCATTAAACTCTACTTTAACCCGGAGTGACTATTGTTTTTCTGCCCTGGGACCTTGGTAGCTGTGCAGCCAACGGGTTTATGACGAGAGTCACTTAAGCAGTGTAAGTTTACGCTGCTAACGCTAACGATATACAGTATTACTTCACTGTCTTGTCTCTGCTTGTGTTAGCCATAGAAGTTAGCTAGGCTGCTGTTGTGTTGCCATCCATTCTTCTTTGTTTTCGCCTCGCAGCTGATTGTTTTTATATATTGACAAGCCACAACATGGCTTGGCTAGCATTTGAAGTGAATACAATGGCACTTGTCAATGGGTGGAATATATTAGTCAACAGTTGAAGTTGATGTGCTAGAAGCAGAGAAACGGCCAAGAAATAGATGGCATCAGAGGAAGCACTATGGGAAGGAGGCAGTGAGATACCCTGAGCAATGTTCTGCTTGGAAACAGTGGGTCTTTTAGTTCATGTAGATCAGTGACGTGCGGTCACGATTGTCAAGATTGACAGGGGAGGCTCTGCCTCACCTGCCTGCCCTGTCAATCTTGAAAAGAAAAAAAAGTTAACCATAAAATATAATAAATGTTAATATTTGTTGGCTGGTGTGTGTTGTAGGCCCTTTTGCCGTTCGAATCCGATGTTGAAGGCATTTTTTTCCAATAAAGAATAGCAGAATTTCTGTATGTCCCGGTCAAATACATGGAGGAGATGCGCGATGAGGCAGCACTTTGCTGTGCCTCTCGGTGGATCGTGTAATCCTCACAAACTGTATGCGATGCAAATAGTGTGTCGCTGTCCCTCTATATATCGCAAATAAAATGCTTTCAAACACTCTGATTATATGCTCCCTTATCAAAATGGAAGATTACATTTCCAAGCGGAGAAAGTTCGCAAATGTGGACTTTCAGTCAAAACATTTTTGACAGTCTGGACATTTTTGTCCAGAAGGATCTTCTTTATTGAAAACATTTGTTTTAATATTGGAATCGAACGGTAAAAGGGTTTGTAATACATACCAGCCGACAAATGGATTTCATGCACAAGTAAAGGTAAGACCATAAACTTTTATTATTTCTAGTTAGAAATAAGCTCAATTGGAATAAATTTTAACCTCAAATTAAATATGGGTCACGTTTGTGTGAAGAATGCTGATATGAGATATAAAACATAACGCATTGTCTGTTAACAGACAATTTGTATTTGTAAATCTGACTGTAAAAGAGTTAGTGCCTCACCAGCTGTCAACCTCACCGCACGTCACTGATGTAGATGATACTTTGACACATTCCATGTACCTAAACGTTGTTGCAGACCAAGTACACCCCTTCATGGCAATGGTATTCCCTAATGACAGTGGCCCCTTTCAACAGAATGATGCCTCTGCTTCAATGAGTTTGTTGATGTGATGAGGTCACAGCCTGCAGCTCAAACATCAACTCTGTATTACCATTATACATCTGTTATGAGTTGGTTGAAAGAATTCTTCTTTTGTCCAACAGACAGCATGAACACTGACAGTAAATGCATTTCAAAAATGCATTTCCCTTGATAGTAAGTTGTGTTTTTGGCATGCCAAAGCCAAAGTTCGGCACAGATGTAATTCAAAGGCAAATAAAAGAGTGGAATTTCAGCCTAAATGTGTGTTTCAGATGATCTCTGGAGTTTTTCTAGTGGTAGTATTTGTCCAGTTTCCAGTCAGTCACTGCGTTCTGATACAGGACAGAAGGTTGAAAGAAGCCTTGATAATATTTGTGATTTCTCTCATTGAAGCAGAACCTCAGCCAACCAGATGGACTCCAACTCCAAACACAATATGCAAATGACTTGCAGTCACTTTTTTTCTAGTGCGATTGTTTTGAGTCCAGTGAGGAGGATATATGTCCAGGTTGTACAGTAAAAGAGTGGCTTTGAAGAATGGGATCTCATATTGTTCAATAAATCTGTGTGATTGCAGGTTTCCTGAGGTTTTCCAGTGGTATTTGGATGAGTTTGTTTCTGGAGGCTGGAGAACGACTTAAGAGGGCTCCCAGAGATACTTGACTTCTGACAGGTATTTTTTCTCTCTCCTCTTTCTAAAATTGAGGCAGTTTTTTGCTTCTAAAGCACTCAAAAACATCTAGATGTTGAAGCAAGAACATTTCCACATTGTTCAATTTACACCTGTATATTCTTAAGTTTTGTCTGCCCTCTGGTGTGGAGAATGAGCATGTTCCCACCTCAGATTATTCTATTTTATTCATATTTCCATAATTTAAATTTTTCTGCAGTGCTTGACAATGGTTTTAAATACATCAAATTGCTTTAGATCTGCTCTTATCTTAGCTGTGTCTTTAAGGTGCTCAAAAATCATCTTTGTTTCAGTTACTTAATTTATTTGTGAGATTTATTAGCCTTAAATCCAACAGACATTTTAATTTGGCTTGCTGCTGTTACTTGTGCTTGTGATAAACTTTCACCAGAAGGAGAGGAAATCATTATGACGGTACACGGCTGCTCTTCAGCAAACTGACTTAGTTGACTTCAGTCAAAAAGCAATTAATCATCAGTTAGCTCCTTTAATTTACTTTAAACTGTTTTGATACAGTATGTCCCTGGCTGAAGATTACATTTCAAAACTGCATTTAGCCCTTTTGATACTTCATTTTTAGCCTTTGGTACAGTATGTTATTAATAGTATCAACCACAATTGATGTAGCTACAAGTATTTCCCAATAGAGGGTGTTGGTGTTTCACTGATTGATCATGCTCTGATGACAGAGTATGCCATTCATCTTGTTCTCAATAAATGTAACACTCATTCCAGACCTGAATTATTTTCAAGGCACAATGTAAATCATTTATCTGCTTGGTATATTCTAGTTCTTTTCGGTTATGTGAGTCACAATAGCTTTGAATGAATCAAACCAAACTTCAAAAGACAACACAGGACTTTTAATATATGTGACTTAACTATTTACATCTGGTCACAAAAGAAACAGTCAATACCTGCCAACATTTCTTCCACTCACTCACTCATTCACTTGCACACACAGTTGCCATACACACTTGTGCTATTTTCTATCTTTGATTTATCTGCTTTTATAACTTAAAAATGTTTTAATTAAAAAATATTTTCATGGGCACTTGAGAAAGATGGAACTCAAGGCTGGGTGTCAGTCAGTGTAAAAATCAGGAAAAGTCAGTGGTTTCTTTACTGAAGTAAAGGGGAGATGGGATTTTCAAAGTCTTGAGTTGTTCTCCCAGAGGAAGGAGTCATTCTGCAGCACTTTGGCCAGTTTCTCATTAAACGGTGTATAGAAATCCCTCAGGATCTCTTTAGTGATGGGGAGCATGGGTCCCAGGTTTTTGTCAGCTGGCCTCCTGGTGTTTGATGCTGGACTTCTTGTGATGTCTGACTCTACTTCTTTTGTCACCGGCCCTATAAAATACGCAAAAACACTTCATTCACATCCCTGCTTTCTGGGCCACTGCAGATTTTGCCACAGCACTAAACAAATGGAAGAAAGTACAGTAAAGGATTCTGAAACATCACTAGCCCTTTTTAGACACAGGATATGTAATACTGCTGATTGTAAAGCGACGGCTTTCTGTTAATGTTCCTCATGGCTTCATTGAGACAAACCTACAACCTTGACTAAGAGAGCCACAGTGCAAGAATGGACACCACATCAAAAGATGTAAAATATATCAAGTTTTCTTACTAAACATGGTGGACAAACATTAGTGTTATCACATGTTATTACTGTTTAGGGAATTATCCAAAATAATCATGTTTTTAGTGAGCTGAGCAACTCAGAGACGCACGAGAGACATGCAGAGACACTTAGACTGTTGTGACTTGGTAGACCCGCTACACTAAACAACATCCTATGTCAGTACATTGTAGTGTTGTGTGTGTGGCTGTCCGTTAATGTGACTGCATGCAGCTGAGACTTGTGTGGTGATTGTTACTTGGTCTGACCTAGATACAGCAGAAGTTACTGGTGCAGCTTCACCCACTGTCAAGGTGCACAAACACAGGAAAAATAAACTGAAAAGCAAAAGTTTGGCAACATTTGCTGTGTTCTGAGTAACTTTAATGCAAAGATAAAAGACAAATGAGTTTTGTCATAAAGCCTTTGGCAGGGCCTGTTAAGTAAGACAGTAGATTGCTATTGCGACTGTATCCAAAGAAAAAAGAAAATTTTCTTCACTGAGTGGCTGTACATGACTTAAGCACTTCAACATTAATAGATTGTTTTAATGCAATACATGCACTCGTCTTTGTTAACATGGTAGAGAATAGCAGAAGCATATTTGTTTAATCTGCACTCAAACTAGTGCTACTGCTAATAATCAGTCAGTGGCATGCATTTAGTTTTACCATATCCCTAACTGTGTTTAGTGTCTTTCTGTTTTGTGTGATGGTGAGGTATGACTGATGTGTCACTCACTCACCCAAGTTAAGGAAATCAAAGACTTTGTGCATTGTGTATTTCCTATTTGAGGCATGGTCTTCCAACCTCAGGACCAGAATCTGTTCCTTGCTGAAGACAGTCAGCCAGTCCATTAAGTACACACTGTAGAGACCAACTTGCAATCTGACCTGAGAGAAACAAAACAAAAGAATTAGTGTGAGAAAACCGAGCTCTAGCCAAGAAACTTCCTATTCAGCTGTGGGACATGGTAGCGTATGCATGGTTAAACTTCATAGGGAGGGAATTCCACTAGCTTTGTCTTTCATCTCTAACATGTGAATATGGTGGTGTCATGTGTTTTGAGCGGTGGAGTTTTGCATCACCACCTGCTAGTGGAGCAGATACTCACTGGATGCCCCTACAAGATGATATTTTGTTTCACCCTGGTATTGTGATCCATTAATTGTATTTTTATTTTTTTTTCAAGCAAAATTGCCAAACATTTGTTGTTGCTAGTTTCTCAAATGTAGGGATATGTTGCTTTACTCTTTTATATGTCATTGTAAATTTATTATCTATGAGTTCTGGGCTGTTGGCCAAATAAAACAAGCAATATAAAGACATGATTACAGATTATATTAAAAAACAATTGTTATTTGCAGACCAAAAATAATTTAGCTACCGACCTTATGTGAAATTTCATTTTCAAGTAGTCTACGGTAGTTGTTGTTGGAATGGGTTTTTAGATTCCCATTTGACAGCTCATTAAGGAACAGTATGCATTAACCTTGGAATTAGGCACTTTTGCTTCTATAGCAAAACTGAAAGGCCATTCAGAATAAATGCTTACAAGCCGCAGCAGCATCATTTGTTTTGTTGAATCAATTTCGTACAGTAATGAAGGCCAGCCATGTTCTCATGCTGGTGCCTTTTTCCTCTGGATTCAAGTCAGAGATTTAAAACTTTTATCAGGGAAACACTGGCATGAGAGACTTCTGCAAGGACAGATGTAATACTTTTCACCTGGTCTAAAACATTGATGAGATATTAGTGGATGGACAATTCAGCCAGCAACCAGAGAGTGAACTTGCTCCCAGAGGGTTATATGGGGGAGCCAGAGGGAGCATGGGCTAGTTTCCTCCTCCCCCTGTCAGCCAGTTTGCAGGGCACTGTGGGAAAAGCTGGCCAGGGACCCAACAATGGGGCCCTACACTGCCTGACACCAGGACTCTGTTTTTGGAGGAAGAAGGAGGTTTATGCCACTGGTAAATTAGACTTCCTGGTACAAAGAGAGGCTCTAGATGCAGCACTGCTCTGTGGTTCAACAGTGTTGCCAAACCCTTTCATAAAATAGGTCTTGCAGGCTTTAGCATGTGCTAATGAAGTGTGGCTTTCACTCCATCTGTCTTTTTCACTCCCTTTTTATTTCTTTTTTCCCAGCAGATAATACACCGCCGGTCACTAAATGCCTCTTTTTGGCAGGGCTATGAGACAAAAGCGAGAGGGAGGGTGCACTCACTGGCATGGCATTATTGACAGTAGTGTTGTACACACAGGAGCGCATTGTGTACTCCGTAAGGCACTCCTCGAATAACTGCAGCGACTCGGACACCTTTTCATGGAAGTCCTCTGCTGACTTATTGGCAATACCAAAGTAAAGGTAGTCAGAGTAGAGCCTGCAAGAGAATGGTAAAAAAAAAATGTGCAAATTTGTAAACAAATTTGACTGACTGTGCACCAGAGTTATTCTGCTAACCTTGCTAATCTCACTTCTCATGAGTCAGTAAATGTCTAATGTATCATATTAAAAAGAAAAAAAAAAAGCAAAACAATGCCCAAATCATTTGCAAGTTTGATCTAATTCATGTCAGTCTGTATAGAAAAAAGGAATGTTAGCCACATGAGCCATAGAAACACTTTCGGTCTGAAATGCTGCACACCGTCTGTACTGAGGAGATGCTAGGATGTAAACAAGTCTCATAATAAAAATGGCACTGTTAATCTAATTGAGCATACAAGTCATTTTCTCTAGAATTGCTTTTGGGAAAGGTTGCACAGGCTGTGATTTGACAGACGAAGGCAATTACAGAGCGCATACTCAGTCAGACATTCTCTGAAGTAAAAATCAACGTTAACTGCATAAAGTAATCTCATTTTAAACAGCATGCCTCACGGGCATTTAGCAGTGTGCCCTCCATGCATCTGATAAAGACATCATAATGAAACTTGGGTTACATGAGACTGAGCAAAAGGAAACCCCTGTGACAATAAGTCTTTCATTTACAATGCACGGGGAAGGTATCTGTATCTGCAGTGTAAACAATTATGATAGAGGCACAAAGGTGGCAGTGTGTGTGTGTGTGTGTCAGGACTGTATATGCATCTTTACTTGCATTTTAGTCTAGGTACTGTATGTAGCAGGAGGCGGTAAGATTACTCCCACCTTTCCACTGGGTCCCTGAGCATAACAATGAAGCGGGCATTAGGCTGCAGGGCGTGGATGAAGTCCTGGATAAGGAAGGGAGGCTCTCCCGCTGTGGTGTTGTCATAGAAATACATCCAAGCGTTATTATCCCACATGGTGGATGCGCTGGCTTCTCCTGCACAATACACCCACATGGGTTCAAATAAAACCATACACACAGAGCATCATACAATTATGCAGTCATGCAGAGACAAAGCAAAACACATGTACATACACATTTTCAGAGTATTTCCCACTCAGTATGTGTAGTTGAATAGCTGGTCCACTGTTTTCAGGTTTCTATTGTGCTATTACATTAAGCGTTTAAGCAAAAAATGCCAAATATTTCCAGCTTCTCAAATGTGAGGATTTGTTGCTTTTCTTTGTATTATGTAATTGCAAATGGGATATCTTTGAGTTTTGGGCTGTTGATGAGACAAAACAAAGAATCTGACGATTGTCTGGAGCTTTGGGAAGTTGTGATGGACATTTTTGCAATTTTTTTGGCAGATCAATGAAGAAAATAACTGGCAGATTTTAATAATGAGAAAGCTCTAAACTATTTCTCAGCTGCATTTTATTTCCTCATGCATCGACGAGTTTTCTGCTTCAGAAAGACACTTGCGTTTTATTTTACAGTAAAAAAATATCTTGTGACTGACATTTCAGAAAATCTAAAGTGGCAAGAAAACAAATGAATGGCTGAAGTATATAAGAATACAATAATTGGTTAAAGTGCTGAGTGTTTGAACTGCAAAATTTACTTTTATGATCTGATATTTACATACATTTTGTACAATTGTTTTATCTGATTTTCATTTCATATTTTTAAAACAACACAAGCCGTGAATAGTTTCTTTTGAAAAATTTAAGGTGTAAATACATGGATGTTTTTATATAATTTCCTCTGAATGAATAGATTCTAAAGCAAGTGCACAAACGACAACAAAAAAAGCAAAAGTAATTGCATCTCTGTCTGTGAACAAAATTGTGGAATGACTTCAGTCCACACAATGACAGTACTGGTGCTCATAACCAGTCAGAGGATGTCGTTTCTTGAACAATCTGAGAGCAGAAACTTTATGATGGCGTGCTGAGAAATGATAACCAGGATTCATTAGGCTGCCTGCGCCTTCATTATCCTCTTATCTGTGAAGTGAAGCTGTGAAGTATTTGGAGGGAACACAACACAAGCCTTATCCACCTAACTTCCTCAGAGGAAGGGATGATAGCCAGGACCTATTTTATGTGATGACAATAGTGAGGGTGAAACAGGATCATTGCCAGTGCTGTTATGTCTAAAATGATACACGGTGTGATCAAATTTATTTAGAGATCTCAGTGTCCATTAAAAAGGCATATTTTGCTCCATGGGGAGAGGCTGTAATAGAGCAAACAAATGGAGAAGCCAGACTGGTGTGCTTCTGGAGCCTCACAGTGACTCGGTCTTGGCTGGTGTCTGTCAGAAGCCCAAGATCCTGGCCATGGGCCTGCTCTTAGCTGGGCTCTCCCAGGGCATGGTGTGAATACTGAGTGGGGCTTTGGCACACTCACCTCCTTACAAGGATTATTTGCTTAAAGAGGGAAACAAAACAGGGCAGCATGTTAAGCTGCATTCAATGCAACTCAGTCCAGTGTGAAAAGGCTATTGTTGAAAACTTAAATCAGTTTTTCTTTGCAGCTCTTTGAGATCATGTTTAGTTGATGGAAGAAGACAGATAGACGGAAGCAGGATATGCAGAGAGAGGAAGGAGGTTTGTGCTGTGGATATTATTGCTGTCCTGACACAAAAAACAATGATTTCTTTTTATGGCACCTCAGTCAAGTGGCTAAGTGAAGCAGAAGGAAGTCCATCATTATTAGGCTCTTAGAGCTTCTCCTTAGGGCTGAGTCAGTGACTCTCTTAAAAATCACCATCATTCTCTGCAGTAAGAGCAGCTTCTACAGAGCAGAAATGTGCTTCAGCCCTGCTACCTGCTGCTTTAATAGCAGCTTTGTAATATTGGAGGCAAGATTACAAGTGAAGTTCAAGATTACAAGTGAAGTTCCAGGCAAGTGTGGTGTCACCCTGAGCCAAACGCGATTGGATGCAGCCTGATGAGGTCAGAGTACTGTCAGTGCACATTCCATGCACAGATCACAGACCTGAGTAACTATTGTGATTCAGCAGAGGTAGGATGGCAAAATCTGTTCTCTGACATAATGTGACACTGACAAAACAGGATGACTGCTATTACACTGAACAGCAATTGTCTGAGTGGCCTGATTACAAGATGGCAGTGCATAACAAGCTATAACCTGTCTTGTTCTCAGCTGCTCACTAATATCTCATTTGTTGATTATCTTTAATAGATGGTGGTGGTTATGGCAATGGACAAATGCTGATAAACTGCCTGTCCTAATTTTTCTCAGTGAGAAAAGCTGTGCTTGATATCTAACATCTGTGTTGCGGTTAATCTTAAGTCAGTATAATTCACAAGGGGTTCAGGCTTAGACTGAGCTGGACTAAGGTCAATGCTAGGCATTGGATAATATGCAGGAACTTTAGGAGGATGTCCCAATGTTTTGGCTCTGATCCAAGTTATCTAATGATTGATATTTCCTGATAGTTACTTAAATATTGCTAAAATGTTTAATTTGTTATCCACCACACAATACCATCAAGTGTGATTCTGTTTTGTTAACAAACGTTCTGACCTAATATTTAAGAATCTAGTTTTTTATGTTATGTTATGTTAACAATACAATTGTTCATTTAGTAATTTATTTTAATTGTGACAGTGGACCAATTACCAGACAAGCATGTCACTGAGTGGCTGGAACTATTAACTTTTAAACAAGATATCGCCTGGTGGTAGTGTCAGACCAGATGATTTGCAACTAGAGCATGAATGGGGCCGCATATTTCTGCATGAACCCGGCAAGACACCCGGAGGGTCTGGTTCAGGTATCCACACTCTACTTGCAACCACAGGAAAAACCTACAAATTTGAAAATACTGGAACAGACTTTATACATTGGAATTTAAACTGTGCAAACAAGGTCCCTTAATACAAATGACATGAAAAGCATAGCTTGTTTCTCCCCCCACCATGAGTCTACGAAAATACCAAAATTTGCTGCAATTTATTACCATTAATGAACACATCAAATAAGGCATCAACAATGCTTCTATTAGAGGTCCTGTGGCTTTGACTGTTTTAAGTCTTACTTACATATGTATGAGGCACAATATAAAATGAGTGCAAGAGATCGTAAATGATTGTAATTGTTATTAAATGTAAGCATAAAGCATTTGCCACCTATTTGAATGTCATTTCACTTACCTATGATGATGTTAGGGTGGCTAGGGGTTCCACTGGCATTTGCTGTGAGATTGCCCTGTATTTGGTAAGCAGCCTGATCGAACAAGTCCAGGTAGTCTTCCACTGGGTATCGATCATGGAAGCCCTCGCTGAGACGAATAATACCTGGTACAGGGAGAAGACAGACAAAATTGATCAACTGTGTCCAGCCAGACTGGCATAGTTATTACAAATTGTATTTTGTAGGAAGTAAAAGCAGACTTTTTCTCTATGAGGCTACACAGATTCTGATTAGACATGGTTTGGGTGAGAATCTGCAGCACTACAATGGGTGTGTATCCATCACACGTTTCTATTCCAGCCTGCCCTCTCCCTGTGTTTTTGTGATTGCACTGAAGGAGGTCACCGGGGTTTCTGTGTTGTCCTGACTGCAGAATGACTTAATAAAATCCAAGTTCAGATCCAGTCCAAATTTTGCAGAGCGTATTGTCCCTGCCCACTTTTCACAGTTTCCTATTAAGGGCCAATGTCAAGTTAATGCTTTAAATGCAAGACTATCAAATGTGTTTTCCATCTGAGCTGCGGTGGTCTACAGTGTAATTACAATTTACTAGGCAATTGCAGAGATTCAGTGTAGGATTTAGGCGTATCCATGCAGCATAAGGATAATGAGATAGTTCAGGCATCTGTTACTTTCAGTAATGCTTTGATGGTGTCGCAGTAAAACACCATTCTCTAGTTAACAGGAAAACATGATTAGAAAACTCTAGTAAACTCTCAAAGCACCCAGCCTGCATCATTATTCATACAAAATGGTCACGCTTACATAAGGTGTGATGGCGCTGATGTGTTTTGCATTGGGGCATTTTTTTTTCCCAGCGCTTTGCATTTTGACATGAATGAAGCATCAGACCATTTTCAAAGAGTCCATAGGTAGTCTTCTTAATGGGTACTGTATACAGCAGACATATCCCCTCTAATAAAGTTATCTGCTATGGATCGCATCAAATCGCCTTTTCACTGCATCAGCTGAATGGAGCCTTGAGGGAAATGAAATAAATAAAATATAAAACAAGGCTATTTGAATTCAAAGTGTTCTCAAAGGATGTCTTAAGAGAAAAGTGCTGATTAGCAGTGCATAGCAGTAGACACTACAAGGGATGGAGGAAATAACAGCAAAGATGAAAGCATGGAGAAGTGGCGGTGGGGGCAAAACTGAGAGGGACCTATGTCCTTTGGATACAGCTGCGTTTGCTCCTGCACAACATCACAAGGCTGCAGAACACAATCACATAGCAGACAAAGCAAACGATTCCTCCACATCCTGTGGCTTTATGAGGTTCAAATATCAATGCAAACTGAATACAACACATTAAAATGAGGAGTGCATGCAGACTGATCAATCTGCCATCAATCTAGGTTTTGTGAGTCTCAGGGGGATTTGTGGCATAGTCAGCAACTGGGTGAACTCCAAAAGGATCACTTTGGCTGGAACAGGTAAGCCTCCTTTGATATTTTTTTGGTGAAAATATAGATGACATTTTTGTGGCTGATACTGTATGCAGCACCCTCAATGAGTATTATGCCAAAACCACTGGTGAAGCTATTAAAATAAAGTAATTTTTGACAGATAGCTTCAGGCAAAACAAAATGTGTTATCAGTCAGCACTGAGCAGGGGAATAGTGCTCATCAACAGTCAGAAATCCCCATGAAAACTGAGTACTTGTGCTGCGCTGATGTGATAGTGCAGTTCCTGTTTTTAGAGAATATTTTCCAACTAAGCATGAAGTCATTATCTAATTTCCTTTTGATTTCATAATCAGAGTTGACTTTGAACAGTGCTATCAGTCAAGAGTCATATCGGTGCCCAACAGTTCATACGCTGTTCTTCACATTTCTTTATTTCTCATACTTCTTACAAATGCAGACGCACATTAGAGAGAGAGACACACGCACACTGACTCACACTCCTGATGCCTACCTCTTGAGCTGCTGAAGATTCTTCATTATTCATGAGTCTTAATGGCTGTTTATGTAATAAAAGACAAGCATGTAGGTATTGGGATGATTATTTACCTTCTTTGGGAACAAAAACAAGACGATTTGAATCTTAACTTACTTAAAACTGCTACTGCATGCCCAGACTACAGTAATTATCAATTGTATTTGGTCTTGAAAAAACTTTCTGATCTCAGGAGAGAACAGACCATCACCAAACCAAATCAAGAGAACAAAGCATTTGTGAGAGTTGGATTTGTAAAATACAAAGGCTCTTTGGTTCATTCTTTTCAAATACACTCACTCCCAGATCTCCCATGACTTCTAATACCATCTGTGGTGGTTCTCTTAACATCACAGATGCACATGGTGAAGGAAACACATGATGGCATCCGCACATTTAGAAGACAGAACCGTCATATGGCCAGATGTCTGCTGTGAGGCAGCTCTCACCTCTCAACACACAGTTTGAGGCTTTATCTCTTTGTTTGAGTCACTGACATATTACCACCTGTTTAAACTTCATGGAAGTCAGTAGTGTAAGCCAGAATTGTGGCAGTAGCTTGCATGTCTAAAGCAGAAGTGAAAGAGGCCAATGACTGATCGTCTCCACCAGCTAAACTGGAAAATATTTCCAGCAAATAGAAATACAGTAAGTGTGTCAAAATATTAAGGTGTTAGTCAATATCCTGTGGCTCTCTCACTATTTTAAATGAGTATTAAAATCTGTGGTGTCAAAACGGGTGAGCAGCTCGGAAGCTGTAAAACAAAGTGCGAAACTAGGAGCTCAAACAAGCTAAGTTTGTAGTGGGGACACATTTTGTATGGAATGAGGACAAATTCAGCATTTGAGAAACAATGCACCCACACATGGGTTTAGAGCATGTGACTAATCTAATTTTTCATGTTCTTTTCAAGTGGTTTCTACTATTTTGCACATGTTCACGTATTAGTCTAGCTCCTTCTGTATATAGTCTACAGTAAGTTAAGCTGTTAATGAGCACCATCTCCACATGATCTCAACAAACTATATCAGGACAGGAAGGTTTCTCTAGCAAGGGGTGTAAAAGTACACAGAAGGGTGAAAGACAAAGATGATTAGCATTCAAAATGTTGAATAGAGGATGCAATTAAGATTGTGAATATACTATTAGAGCTGTCAATTTGGGGCTAACAACTCTCAGAAAATAAACAGTTTACTTTCATTCTCATGCACAGCACAATATGGGTCGTAAATATTCATTTTTCCTTTAACTGCACTGGGAACTTGAACTGCATGAATGAGAGATGCTTAATTCATGTCACATTCAGGGCACCCATTCAGCTAGACACTTAAATTGTGGTTGCTGTTTTTCGTATATTTGGTGTCAAAAATGTGTACAAATGTGGACTTTTTGCTCAATTAGCTTTTGAAATATATAGAAATGATTACATTTAGTTACCACCATCCACACATCTTAACAGCATGATAACATTAAGAGTATGGGAGATTTATGCTCATGAAACAGACAGGCCTGCCTTTAACACTAGAACGGCCAGGGGTCCTTGTATACCTAAAACTGCCAAACAGGGCAAATTTACCCATGTACCTAAATACTGCATTGATAATGCTAAAAATGTATTCTGCCACTGTATTAAGGCATTGTATTCACAAATGAACATCTAGAGTCCGTTTACCCACTGGGCACTTCTAGGTATAAATGCCCCTGTTTTTAATCTGGTTTAAACATAACCATTTTTAACAACAAGGGATGCTACATAACACAATTTAGGAAAAGTTAGACTGGGAGACTTGAATATATTGTTTAAATACAATAAAATACAGTTTAAAAACAGACATGGGTAAATTTTACCCTTGGTGGTTCTAGTGTTAGGGATGAGACCCCTTCAAATGTTTGTGGCTAAGTGCTTTTCTGAAGTTCCCTGGGGTGTGGCGCGGCCAAAATGATATGCTATAGAGAGTCACAGTTCATACTTCTAATGCTCTCAGGCTCTCATTATTGTGTGCCAGCCTGGAGGTCTACCATGGTAAATTAGGGGTTTCTTTACTCACCAAACCTCTTGCGGGTCCACCAGTGTGGTTCTTTGAAAGTGGTGAACTTGATATCTGGGTGCAATCTCAGTCTGTCATACAGGTCCGTTGTGCCACACTTTGGTTGGCCAATGATATAGAAATAAGGAAGGCACCGAATGCGGTAGATTTTCTCGTTGTGGTGGATCAAGTGTTCTCGAAAAGTGTTCCTTAACTGCTGAAACACAATCCGGAAGCGTCTTGAATAGCGTGCATACAAGTTTATCCTGTATGGGTCTGAAGTGATATTCCCATTGTATTCCTCATACCAACAGGGGTTCCTAACACCATGCAGGAATTTGCTGGGTATAACAGAAAACATCTATAAAGACAAAAAAAGCAGGCAGTGTCAAGCTATTGAGTCACCGAACTTTATACAGTAAATGTATAAAAACATTTCCAAAAGCCTCCTATAAACCCTTGATATTATCATTGCTAAAGCTGCAAGATGGAGGATGAATGCATTTGTTTAACAGATGACTAAACAGTTTTAAAAAGTTGTGAACAGGCCACTCTTTTGGCCGGTGTAGGCAAATGCCATCTGTGTGGAACTGTCTGGAGAGGGGCAGACTTTCAGTAAATTGGTTCTAGACACATTAACACAAGTGAGTGCGCAGATACAGTACATACACATACAGTGCAGTCAAATACATTAAGTAAAGGACTTTTTTGTTGTTGTGTTGGCTGTGAACTCCAGGATTTTTATTAGAGATTTGTTTAGAGCTACATCCATTGAGCACTGGGAGAGCTGTAGTCCTTTTTAGATGCTTAGTGTACTTGTTACTGCTACTCTTTCTGCGCTGTACTGCAGCCATTTTCACTTTGTCTTTGTTTTGGGGTCTATTTGTCTTCAGGATTGGACCTAGTTTGGATGACTGAGTTGAACAGTCACATTTCAGTGTTTTTCAGTGATCAAACAACAAATGTTACTCTAACCTGCTCACTGCCTGTGAGACACAGTGAAATTAAGGATAATTAATGCTGGATCTATCCATGGATGTGGTATTGATTGCCCCACAGCCACACTCCCCTATTCATTAGCTTATTCAATAAGAAATTGGCTATGCTGCAGATAGCCCTGGCACAAGCTATTATCTTTACGATTAACAATTAACTGAACTAGGCCATGAGGTGAAATGGACAAGAAAGGGTCAATGTGTTTGAAAAATGTGGGATGACTTTGAGCTTTAAATCCCTTCTGGAAAAAAAAAAAAGTAAAGACATATGCAGTTATCTGGTGTGACATTAAGTGTTATACCACATTCTCAGAGCAGTTTTATCTCTTAATAAATTTAATGAGAAATTGAAATCAGTGGGAGTGGCACAAGCTTAGGTGTACTGAACCTTGTGTAGACAGCATGTAGGAACAAAGATTGATTTGAATCAACTTTTCACTTAGCATTTAATTACACTTCAAGACACATGAGATTTGTCAAATAAAAGAAAGATCTATGCCATGCATTTGTATGATTATGAATAAAATAGACATTTTACACTATAAAACACTGAAGCAATCGGATTACAGCAATTGATCAGATAAAAATGTTTATCTTGATAGGATTTGCATCCTTAAGGTTTCTCTGAATACATTCAGTGAGAAATAAGGCTTATAGAGGCTTATTTAGGCTTTATATATAT